AAAAAAATCAAAAATCCCGCATTACCGCATGAAAAAATCGAAAATACCGCATACCGCAAAAACGAATATGGCGTTGCAATTTAAACATAAGTGTGATAAAGCTAATAAACCTACTAAATGGCTTCTCGTAGTTTTGTTACGCTTTTACGTTCCTCCGCTCCGACTTCACAGCGGAATTTGTTTTTATTTCTATAATGTTTTCCTCCTTTTCCTTCTTCATAGAAGAACGCCACGCATTCTATAATTACTAGGCTGTCAGACATACTTCGGAGTATGTAAGTACGATAACGATGTCACAAAGATTAACGAGAATGACCAGGTAGTCCAGAGAGGTCATATAGGTCAAATTACATGATAGAAAGGTCTGTGATTGGTTGTATGGATTGTGAATCATTTTTCTCGCAATACCGCCATTTTAAGCGATTTTTCCCGTAATACCGCATCTTAAAACTTCAAATACCGCATATCGCACAAAATACAAATCCCGCATCATCGAGTTTATTTTGCCAAATTACCGCAATATCGCATGAAAAAACGGTCAATCCCGCAATCCCCCAAACCCCAATGTCCCCTCCAATAGCGTTAGCGCAACATGCCGACCAGATCTTTTGCCCAATGTACGCGAGCTATTGAAGATGTCCTTCCCATCGGAAGTGTCGAGGCTAATCGTTCTTGCCTTAGACGAATCTATACTTGGCTGAGGACAACGATGACCACAGAGACGCTGTCAGATTTAGCGTTTATTGCCATACATGGCAATGCTAATCCCCTAACCACACAAGAAATATGCCGGGCATTTATGCAGCTCCATCCTAGGAGAATGTAGGAGCCATCGCTTTTCCGTTTTGATGTAAAATAGTTGTTACTCTACATAGAGAAACACTCAGACTTAAAAAAAAACGAAACAAGCAACAAAATACCAAAACTATCTTATGTAGCTGCTAGAGTGTATGCTGCATTGATTAATAGATAGAAAAATTGAATATTAAATAAAGTAACTTTTTCAAATGAAATACTTGTCATAAAATAGTCACCCTCCTTCCCAAAATTCTGGATCCGCCACTGTAGCTAAGCGTATTACAGTGATAAATGTCCAATGAAGTAAACAACTAGTCCTTCGCATCTGTTGTCAACGGATGCGAAGGAGACTAGTAAACAACCAGTACTTGAACAAACATATCAGTTTTTTACATGGATTTCAAGGCCTACAACTCATTGCATATGATAATGGCACTGTCCTTCTCATGGAGCTTAACGGTATTTTTTGGTGTGTTCTCAACGTCCTTTTAGAAAATCTTACACTTTGCGATTGCGATTCTCTGGAAAATGAAACAATTGTCTGATTTAATACGATTTAATGTGTGATTTACATGCAGTAACAAATTCATTTAAATTCACATTATTTCAGATGCTTTTATATTTCATCGAATGTCAATAATAATAATTTAACAAAAAGAAAATAAAAAAGTCCTACCTTAATATTCTCAGAGCTAGCTAACTAGTGATCACAAGTTTTTTCATGTGGCTCATGTGTAAAAATAGTCGTCCGCTTGGTGTAATTGACAACCAGTCCTGTCTAGTTTAGTGACAAAAGATCACCAATCGATTATCATCAAGATTACTTGAGGCAAAAAGTTTTTTAAATCAGTAAAAATACACAAAAAACTTTTAAGCTTAACTATAA